ATTGACATTGATTTTCAGATTTTCGTAATACTCTCATAAGAATTTGCAAATCTATTATCAAAAAAGATATTATTTATGTTTATTAATTTTATACAAAAAAAATATTATTTATTAAATTAAAAGAAATAATAAATTTTTATTAACTGTTTTTTAAATTATGAAAAGAAGCTATCTACAATTTATAAATAATATGAATAACAATTCTTTATTAATTTTATATGAAAGTGAATATAATATATTATTTATCTAAATAAATTATAATAAATCATGTATATATGAAATAAAAATGTTTATTAATAAAATATACAATTATAAACAGAAACTTATATATCTTCATATATTAAGACAAATAATTATTATTTATAAAAAGGTTATGAGATTATACTAAAAGTATATATTAAATAATATTTTTTATAAAACTAAGAATTATATAAAAAAATATTAATAACTTAAAATAATTACAATCAATAAAATTCTGAATTACAAGTAAGGGAATTAGAATATTATATTATTCTATCGATATTAATTATGATAGAGATAAATTGTTAATAAAAAATAAATCAAACTATAAAAAGAAGACTATTCTTTTGAAAAAAAATGATGAAAAAATATAATTCTTTTTAAAATAGGTAAGAAAATATAATTGAATTTTAAAAAGTATATGACATTATTTAAGAATATTATTTATAATCATGAGAACTAAAAAAATATTGCCAACATAAAATTGATAATAGTTTTCTTTAATTCATTTACACTTTCTTACTTTTAATTTGTCTCTAATTATTTAATTTGTTAAAAATAAAAATAGCAAAGGCAAAAGTTATCACATTTAGCTAAATAATCTTTTTCTTCCTATTATCAATATTTTCTTATTACTCTAATTTATTTGATTAAATTTCCTTTTTATTGTCATTAATTTATGAAATAACTATTAGTCTAAAACTTATTTTTGTAATTTTATGATTGTAAATAATCAAATAGATTTTCTTCTATGTAGATTTGATAACTTTGATAAAATCTTTAGTAAATACAAAAATTATATCATATAATAGGATATTAAAACTCTGCAATTTGTTTAACAATTTATTATAGATTTTGTTTGATTGTGGAAACATTTAGAATTAAAACATTCAAACACTATGATATAATTAATGATATTAATTTAACACCAGATTCCAGCATTAATGGGGTGCAATTGCTAAGCATAGAATTCCGTTATTATGTTTAATTAATTTTTCAATGAACTTCTAACTTGATAATAAATGTAATGAACATAAAATAATATTTCTATCACAAGATGTGAAAATAAGGCTTTAATTTCTTTTTAAATAATTTAAAGTGCTTATTTATTGCTAATGTCTAGTAAATTATTTCAAATATTTTAATGTTCCTTGTTTGAAGGAATAAATTCTCAATGATCTTTACAGACCAACAAAGCTTAAGGTATTTTTTGTGTTAAAATAAAAGCATAGCATTTTTATTCCTTTTAATTTAAATTTCAATTAGCTTAAAATTGTAAATTTAAGAATTAGATGGTTTTGATTTGGGCATTTAATTTTATTTTAATTATTAAAATATACTTGAGATCAAATTTGAAAATTGAATTTAAAATTCTAATATCATAATATTATGCATATGTCTCCTATTACAATTAATCCACAAGAGATTACTTTATTTTAATTTTCATTAATACTAATTTCATATACAGCATGAGCATAATCAGTTCTCTTTTTTAAATCCAGAAATACTCAATAATAATCATTATATATCATTGTTTCATAACTATCTTCAATTTCACAATTTAATGATCCTATAATCTTAAAGTTATCTTCATTAATTTGCTAATGATATAAATATGATGTTTATGTCTAACCAAAAGTATATTTTTAACTTTATTATATAGTTTTATTGTAATTCTATTTGAAGACTCCATCTTACAATTCAAAAATCAAAATTTAATCAATATTCTTATATTTAGAAACTCAAATCAATTACTGATCATTCATCAAGTATATTTAATATCCCTCAGTAACTTATTATTTACATTTTAACTCCCATTTGTTTTCTACTCCTTTCTACCATATTAAATAACTGCAGTCTTAGTTCATTTTTATAAAATTTAAAATCCAGATTTTAATTGAATTATCTCTACCACCTGAAATAAGTTGATCCTCTTGTTTATTTAATATTAAACATGTAACCGAATTAATATGTTATTCATATGATTATAACTATTTACATTCGTTTTAACTAATTTAATGAAATAATTTGATGAAAACATTCAGAAATTAATAAAAGTAAAATTGGAGATTCCATAGAGATATTTAGGGGTTGAACTAAACATATTATATATAAAAGAATGAATTGATCAAATGGGCTTTTGCTTATAAAAGAGGAATACTATGCTATTTTTCAATGATAGGGAGTTCTAATAAAATCATTACAAAGTTGTGTTAATTCTCTATAAGAAAACAACTAAATTCAAAACCTAAAGCTAGCTTAAATAAGTAGTACAATCACTTCTTGATAAAGAAAAAAATGAATGACATTCAATCTGAATTAATTTGCATTTCGAGATGGTCATTTTAACCAAGCATATAATATTCTTTGACAATTTTATTTTTCACCACAAACATCAGAAAATAAATTGTTTAACTTTAATAGACAAGAAAACTTGATTAGAAAACTTTAATCAAGCACTTAACTATTCACTATTTAAGAGCTATAAAGAATTTATAAATATATTTAACTGATAGCAATTCTATATTAAACACTCACTTCAATAGAGAAATTAAAAGAAACTTGTTCTATTCTTTATAAATTAGAAACAGAATTTCTGAAAAAGTCTGCTGTAAATAATAATAATGTGATTTATCAATTTCTGATATTCTAAAAGAAATATTAAATGATGAATGAGAATATATTTTAAAAGCTAAAACTATCAATAATAAATTAATTTTTGATTATATTAGGTATGCCAAATTTCTAAATGAATTACTGAAAGAAATTGAAAATTTCAATAAAAGTAATTTATCTTATTTAGCATCAATAATATGAGGAGGCCAAACAAAAGAGTTTATTTTTATTTATTCAGCAAAGTCTATAAAATCTTTACCGAAATAAATAATCGTAATAATTATTCTGAAATATCCAAAAATATGTCAGAATTTTTTATTTTAATTTAGTGCTATTTAAATAGCTAGGAGGAAAATAAAGTAAGTGAATATTTAAGTATTTTAAGCAGTATGCAGTATGGAATCGAAATTATAAAGCATTCATTATACCATCATAAAAAATTAGCAAAAGTTAATTATTGCTTGCTTTTCTTTATGTTTGTTTGATATGATAAACAAAATTTCTTTATTTTTCTAGCCCCTTTTATTTGATAGGTTACAATAACAAAGGTAGTAAAAAAGTAAATTATCTTTTCAATTAAACTAAAAATTTGAAGTAGCCAAATCTCCTTTATTTTCTTCAGGTAGAAGTAATAATTTTAGGATAAAAAATCTTGTTCTTACACAATTAAAAAAAAATAAATTATTTCAAAATAGTAATTGCTAAATATATATAATATGTAAATGCCTTTACTTTAAAAGAAAAAGGTTATTTTGGAATAAGAAAAAGCAGGTGATGATAGATATTTATTCTGAGGGCATATTATTTGTTGATATTAAATTATGCATAAATTATAAGTCACTTATTTCCTTATAGAATTCTAATTAAGCCGGTTTTGATAGTTAAAAAAATTACTGAATTATGGCATTATAATATATCTTCTTCCCAAAGGGCTAGGATTAACAAATTTTATTTATGGCAAAACCTAAGATAAAAAGTTATTTTGGTTATCTGCAAACCTATTTGAGTCAAAAGAAGGTAAAGAGAGAGACTGTATTTATATGAACCATATTGGGTATATCTACATGATCAAATAACGAATCAATAACTCTATGTAAATTACATTGATTAATAGTATTTTTAGTTTTAAAAGCAAAATGCTTCATAGGATCGATGTTTTTTTTAATAAAATTTGTAGATCTAAAGGTCCATCAAGCTTAATTGGTGTTTTCTAATTTATTATAGACAAATTATAAATAATCTTATGTTCTTTAGATGACTGTTGCCTTTCTTTTCTATTATTTTTACCAATACAAACCAAAATTCGCATATGCTTCTTACTTTAAGTCATATACAATCATTAAAGGATGATGTAATTATGCATCAGCTTAGAAATCTGATCTTAAATTTGTGTGTGCTTTTAAATTACATTCAGTTGGAACCAAAACTTAACAAATAATGAGCAAATCTGAATAATAAATAGGCTAATAATTAAATATATTAATTTGGATAAAGATTGCCATTATAATTGATTGAAATCCCTTTCAATTATAAGGAAAAAGAATTGGACTAATTCTTAAATGAGTTATCTTGTTCTTATGTGAATTGTATAAAAATGCTATTGCTGATACTATTAAAAAGAGAAGAGGAATTTTTAGGAAAAAATATATGCTTGTTAAAAATTTTGTAGATAAGAACCTATCTCCATTTAATAACGATTTAAGATAATTATTGCCATTGTTGCAGGAATAAAAATATCATGTAGAGGTGTTAGATTATTAAAATGAATGTCAAATTAAAGGTTTGCAATAATTATAGAAAAAAGATCACGATTTTGCATTTATATTAGAGTGGACATAATCAATCTTCAATCAGGAATATTTTGTATAATATATGAATCAAATATTAGTTTTCTTTAATTAAAAAATAGTATTGAATTAAGAAAAAATATAGGATTAATAAAATTAAATAAAAATATAGGATTAATTAATATATTGTTTGAAATAACTATTGAACCTATCAACGAAAGGATTAGATTTCAGGTGCAAAATAGAATTAGAATCAATTATGAAAATGGTCAAAATTTTCTATTATATTTACAATAATTGGTACAATCTACTTAATGTCAATATATTCAACATTATAAATACTCCAAGACATATCATATTTCATATTTATTTTATGACAAAACTCTTTGATGTTGGTAGAATAGGTAATTCTATAATAATTAAGTTTGAATAAAGTGATATCTAAAGTATATCACCCCAGAATCACTATTTAGATGATTACTTCTATTTTTGTAGACTTTCTATTTGAATTGGTAGAAAAGGAGATGTCGGATGCTATTTAGAGGAGATTTTTTATGTGGATGAGTCATATGATTTTGTTAGAAAATAGTTTTAGTTTGCGGATAATTTGGATGCAATAATATATCGTTACTAATGAAAAGACATTTTAAAAGAACCTTTTTAGTAATTTAGAAATTAAATATTTTCTGTAAAATAATGTGTGAATTACCATTAGAGTTAAAGAATTTAAGTAATGTAGTTGCCATAAATATATCAAAACTATTAATACTTAAGAAGTTTATATGAGGATGAATCAACTTAATAAGATATTAATTTTGTAAATTAATCAGATGATGTGTAATTATGTGATAATTTCAACTCTAGGAGAGTGGATAAAAGTAATTTAGAACAATATTTACTTTTAACTGTTGAATATTCATTATATTAATAGTATTCAAAGGCGTTTAAATAAATGAAAAAGGATTTTAAGGATATGCAAAATTATTACTTTAAAGTTTTTCTCTATTTGAAATTAATTTATTGATTGATACATTTCCAAGAAGGAATTAAGTCAATTAAAATTATTTTGGTCAACATATAAAGAATCAAATTCAGAGAAATTAGCACATTGCTTGGCATTTATCACAGATATTAAATTTAGTTTATGATGATAGGTATAAGTTTGGTATTTTGATAACTTAAAGTTAGAAGCGTAAATTAACTTAGAACTCTAAAAACAAGACTCCCAGTATCTAGGATATTTAGCAATGTTCTAATAATTCCCCTAACATTATTGTAATTTTAGTTCATTTATTCAACATCTTTCTTACATTTCGATATTATTTAATCTTTTTAAAGTTAAATCTTATTTTTTGGGATTCAACTTTAATTTTTTATGTTATA